CAATGTGCTCTTCGCTTCCTGTTCCTTACTTTTTATATGTTTCTTACTTTTTTTCCTCTTTGTGATTGTTTTATCAATCATCGTTTTTCTTATCTCTTTCGAAGTTCTACTTTCAAGTATCTAGGATGATAGAAAATGAAAAAACAGGATGAGAGACAAAAAGACAAGGAGGCTTATTACAGTTCTTTAAACAAAGTGAAAATTATAAAAATCAACAAACTCACTAAGTATTAATCAACGAAGATTATAAATATTCTAGTAAATTCGATCCGTATTATATACTTTCGTAATTTTTATCTTATTTTAAGAACCGTAATAAGCCCCCAGAGATCAAAGTGGTAAAAAGAAACAGGAAGTAAAGAGCATATTGTAGATTAAACTTGAAAGACTACGATGAGTTCCTCGCTTTCCTGAATTCCTCTGCGATTCTCCGTCTCGAGAAACAGCTTCATGTAGTTTGACGATTGTTCAAAAGAATGAATTGTCTTTCTTCCAGTCTATGCATAACACAAGTTTTCCGAGGGACGTAAAGACGTTCTAAAGATATCCAAAGGACGTCCGTCTTGAAGACGTCTAGAGGATGTTTGTATCCTAAAGACGTCTTCAAGACATTCCTCAGAGATCTGTGTTGTGTGGATAAATTTAGCCATAATTCCCATAAATATAAAGAATAGAATAGAATGATTTTTTCTAGCCAAATTGCTGCTCTTCTTGCATAATTTATCTTTCCTCTTTTTTCCTTCAACGTGAAAAAAAAAAGAGAAAAGATAAACCATGTAAATGTTAGACTAAAAAAAACATACTTAAGTCCTGAAACAATAGGTGTAATAAGCCTTAAGAAATTTATCAATCACAGTTAAATCGACTGATTGTCAATTTCTTAAGGCTTACTACTCTATTGTATTTCGGGATTACTGTCGTTATTAGCTATGAATTGATAAAGAAAAAAAGAAAATAATATGGAAATAATTGATTGAGAAGGTTAATTGTGTATCTTAAATGAGGAAAGTTACAAAGTGAACGAATTCATTAAAATATTTATAATTTTATTAGTTAAAATACTTAATGAATTTGTTTACTTATGTAATTTCCATCTAATTTTTAAGGTACACATTCGACCTTCAGAAAGAAAACGCTTTCGTAGACCGGAAGGTCGGTAAGGCTGGAATCAGGCTACGCATAGAAGATTGAAGGAGATTTGAGCAATGAACACAAAAGAATTTTAGCTTCTATTGTTTTTTTAATCGGTCAAATAACAATCTTTCAATCTCGAATGCATAGTCTGATTCCGGCCCAAAGAAATTCGTCCGTTGGCGCCGCGGCACGTCTTCTGCTAGGCCTGCCCCCTCCCCCCGGCGTCCCTTCTCATGCTACTTGCGGCTCACATGACCCCGTGCGCAGAGACTCGCGCAATTCGTGGGGGTTACGTAACGTGCGAGGCATCGCTCTATCCCGTTTCTACACGCGCTCTTCCCGATCGTGCGCTCTCTCCTCCTCGCTCGATGGAGGCCGGCTTCGCGTTCGACGGGTCGAACGACGAAGCGAAAAACTGTCCTGACGATCCGTGAAATGTCTTCGTCGGGACACGAGATGAGACCGGCGTTGTTCCTATTAAGGATTACATAACGCTCGCAGATCAGAACACGGACGAATTCTGGTCCGCGGATTAACCTTAAAGGAAATACTGTGAGGTACCCTCGTGGAGCGCGCGATGCCGCACGCGATAATTTCGTATCGGTACTGACCGGTCACCTTCGTAGCCTCGTGCACCTGATCGCCGTTCAACAAGGGTATCTTCGCGCTGCCGGTATCTCGTTCGGACGTGTCGATCTGTGCGCCGACTGCCATTTCCTTGGACTTGGACCACTCCGACGATGATGAAAGAAATGACGATGACGGTGACGACAGGGTGTAACGTGACAATGTGGTTTTCTTATTTCTCTGTATTACTTCGACTACCTCTTTACTGTCTCGCGCGAGCTTCGTTCTCTCTGTCCGTTCTTTCAGTGTCCTTGCTGCGATTTACGGTCACGCGCACGCACGCCCTTTTGAATCGTTCGTCCGGGACGGAAAGCGACGACGATGTCCGACTTTTTCACGACAGACTACTTCAGCGCGCGCGAATCCTGCGGCCCGCACGTGCGTTTCGAACGGTCTGCGGCAAAGTTCTGCGGCACGGCTGGCGATTGGTTCGTCGCGACGATCCGCGATTGGTCCGCCGTACTGATTCGCGATTGGTCCGTCGGTATTGCGCCTGCAACGATGCGTTTTTGTGCGCACAGCTAACAAAATCACTAGAAAATGA